TAACTGTTTTATTTATTTTTTTAATATGAAAAATTGGAACTTAGTTTTGGTTTTTTTTTCCTGCTGATTTTTATGCAGTAGCCGTTTCTGTTGTTTTTCGGTGGCATAGTTTAACTCTTATGCTTCACTTTTATTCATTACTTTATCTGTACTCAAGACGTAAGGTAAGTTCTGTCCTTCCTCTATATTAACTAGACACTCTTGTGTACACTATAATAATGGAATACTCAAACGATTACCATCATCACACACATTCAGGAAAGAACTGTCGTTGTTGTTTTGGTGAGATAGCAGAGGTTGTAGCGAATACTAGAGGTCTTTTTCACCTGCAAACTAATGGGAAAGGGGATGCTCGTGTGGTGAATCGCATCTGGATTGCCTTAGGCGAACAACTGAAGGACCTGCTGAAACGCAAAAAGTCTGCCATTGTTCCGAATTTTTTGCATGCGAGCATTAAGGTAAAAAAGGACCTCTACTTTGACGAAAGCACCCGTGTGTTTAACAAGCCCCAGATCGTCCTCCTGCCCGATTTCACCTCCAAATTTCACCTGCAGAATGTGCTGTTGATGAAGGATGCCCACTATCATGCGACAGTGCCTTGCTATGTTAGCTATACCGCTATCGCGAATATCGTTGGGATGGACCGTTATATTGTTGAGGCCGCTGTGAAGGATTCGATTGCTGAGATTGGCAAGTATACCCAACGCAATCCGACGTCTACCCTAAGCATTGACATAGGGATTGGATTTCTCGAGCTTCGTGACCGTGAGTATCGCATGAAATGGTCTCCTAGGTTCTTGACAAGTATGAAGGAAAGCTTCATGAAAACGGAGGTCCTTGTTAAGCCGTACGATCCGCCATCGATGGTAAAGGACGGGCCTGCCGCAAAGTGTCGATTTCAGGCAGGATGCCTCACCCATGGGGAGTTGAAGCAGGCGGTAGAGGACACAAAGGAGGCTGAGAAGCGACTCACTGTAGCTGAGATGAATGATGGATTTGGTGGTTCTTCCTACCGAAAGACTTACTGGTGAGTGACCAAAAGGAAGCATTTATTTGTTTTATGAAAAATTAATCCCTGTAGAATACATGTATGTGGATATGATTATGTATAGCGGCACAGTTAGTTATTGGTTTATCTCGCGGTGTGGGTCAATCAGCACTATCGATTCGAATTTTTGGCAATGAGTATTTCGATCATGCGTCGAATCAACTCGATTCATTATTATTTTATTTTTGTGCTTGTTGTTTTTGCTTTATGAAACATGTAGGCTTATATCTAACATCAAAAAAGCTACTTCCTAAGAAGCACTTTTTAGATCAGTGTTTTTTCTCTAGCGTTGATTGGAAAGAAACGTTCATTAACCGCTCTTTTTTTATCAATTTATTATCGCTCCCTACCAGAGCTACGTTATAGTTTGAGCTAAGGTAGACTAAGGCGATTAGAAGGCGCATTTTATAATATATATTTTTTTTGTACTAAACATGGACGGCGCTAGCGGCAATAGAAATAACAATAATAACCCAGGCATCCCGCACGATGCCTATCGGAATTCTAATAATAGTGGGTACGCTAGAGGGATGGGAGGAGGCGGAGGCTTCTATCGCGGAGGCCGTGGTGCCGGGGGCGCCCCGACGCCACCAGCCGGCAGCGGTGTGATGCCGCGCCCCGCTGGT